CATGAGCCATCAGCGCCCCAGCTAATACCTGCATTTTTGAGGCAACACATTGTGAAATCTTACCAGCTTAAAAAATAGTACAGATGTCTTAACAATAAAAATCAATAGTCCCCTTTCCAACCTCTTTCTTCTCACCCCTCCCTTTAACTCCTTTAGGAACTTCTCATAATCCAACCATTATTTTAGACAGTATTACTTCATGATTTTTCTACATGCTAAAGAATAGTTTTCTTACTCCATCAAATACACATTTCATTTTTTATTTTATTTTGTTTTTACATTAGTTATACAAAGTAAAAGCTTTCGTTATGATATTTTTGTACCAAATAGATTTCTTCCTTTAGTCTCTCCTGTATAATGAAGCAACCATTTCTCTAACATTTTTAGTAAATCAAACTCCTAGTTATTAAATGTATAGAATCTTGATAAATGTTAACTAATTATGTCTTGTCAGAAATATGTGATAATTTGTTTTTTATACAGTTTTATTTTATGCCTATTCCTTTAAAACTTCAATTTTTCTAATATATATGACAAAACAAAGAATTCCAAGAATGTATGTTGGACTGTACTAACATACTAAAAGCATACAATAGCTGGGAGCCAATGAATCATGCCTATAATCCTATCTTCTCAGGAGGCTAAGATCTGAGGTGTGTGGTTCAAAACCAGCCTGGGCAAGAAAGCCCATGAGATTCTTATACCCAATTAAGCACTAAAGAAGCCAGAAGTGGAGCTCAAATGGTAGAGTGCTAACATGAAGCAAAAAAAGCTCAGAAACAGCACATAGGCTCAAAGTTTAAGCCCCAGAACAGGGTACAAGCAGAAGCAAACAAAAAAGCACACAAAGTAATGCAGTAGAGTAGACAAAACATTTTTAAATGATATTTGCATTAGCACTGAAGATCTTACACATTCCGTTTTGTTACAAGAAATATCTTAACGCCTTGTTTGTAGCTATTGTTTCAAAAGACAGTAAAATAAAAGTCAACCCTAAATAATTATAAATATTGCATAATAAAGGATTTTCCATGGTACACTAATGAGAATTCATGTAAACCCAGTGAAACTAATGCTTTGTAGTAGTTCTTAATATAATTAAACTGCTTGCTTTTCTGTTGTCATTTGGTTACCACACCACAGAATAATACATACTTTATGAGTTTGGTCCAACAACAACTTTCTGTGGATCCTTATATCATAAATACATTTGTCTTGTGTGTTGGAAATAAACTAGAGACAAGTCTATGAAATTCCACCAATTAAACAGAAAAAATGGAACTTTTCTTTTTATATAAAACCTTAATCCTAAAAGCTTAATTCTTGCTTAGTTTACAGTTTCATTGCATGTACTAGTCATTTAGTTACTGTGAATAAATTATTAAGTTAGGCAGTTTGAGACATGTACCATTTGCTAATGTAGAAGCGCCAGGAAGTGTACCTTTATGCTGGCTATAAGAACAGCATTTATTAATGATCAGTATGGTGTACCAAATAGATTCTAATCTCACCTATACCACTTTGAGTACCAATTGGTGATCTAAGCTGAGTCCACCTAATACAAGAAGGGGAGGGATAATCTGTTGTTAATTAATCTCCAAAGTAAAGTTTGAGCCATAACTAAGTGGGCTACATACTGTGTGGTGGATAATTGCCAGGATTTTGTTCACTTCACTTTAGAGCAATGGCTAAAAATTACTGTTACACCAGATAACTAATTCATCATGCCATATTTTAGAAATCATCTAGCTATCAAACTCCGGACTTTCAAGGCAACTGTATTATTATACCCAAAATATTAAAAAGGTGGAATCATTCCAGAATTATCTTTCCATGTGAGAGAATAAATATAAACTGTAAAAATGTAGTCCATTTTCAAATGTTGGATGAGGACCCTAAACAACAGTGTAAAAGGCACATTTAAACCAGTAGCCACCATTACCTCTTCCATTTGCTTGTTTTTGGTTCAAAATTGTAACTCTTCTTTACTGTGAATTATCTTCCCTGCTCTTTTTATTTTTGGATTATGAATAAACACACTTTATTATTTGTTCATTTTTATCATTTTCTGTCTCCACTTACTAGAATATTGGCTAATATAGATTGGAATGAAACACTATAATATAGCACTTAACACAGTATTTAACTGAGAGTTTTACTTACTTCTTTGCTACTATCTTTATATGTTAAATTTTATCTGCTAAATAAGACTAACTTATAATTAATATGTAAGAAATACTATTTTCCATTTAAAATATACACCTCATACGAAGTTAAAATTTTGGCATTTTCATCTAAGCAACATTTCTAGGCTTTCTCAGAAAATGCTAAAATCATTAGCCTTAATTGCTAACAAGTGCCAAACACTAGAGATACATCCTTTGTCAATTTGTATACTAGGAAATATGTACTGTGATAAACTGGGATTTTACGTCTTTTAGTGGAATATTAGTACAGGGTTAATATACAGTGAGGCTAGTACAGCAGGTATGCTAAATATAGGACTTATTTTGGCTTTCTTTCATGCAAGAGCTATTATATTACAACTGGTTTGTCTTGGGGCATATTTCTGGTCCTTTATTGGTAAAACATTCAAAATCATCTTTTGGTATTATACAAAATACATTCCTTTTTATTTTTATTACCTTTAGATAGTTGTGTAAAGCAGTTGCCATTTAACAAAGCAGGTTCTGAATACAATATATCTTGATCTGTGTCATCCCTTTCAGCATTCACATCCATTCCTCCCCTATCCACCCTTTCCCTCACTCTACTTAATTTTTTAGGATATACATTAACAGATACTGGTGAGATTGTGGTCAGAAGGAAACCCTAATACACTTGATGGGAATGTAAACTTGTTCAACCACGCTGGAAAGCATTGTGGAGGTTCCTCAAAAAAAATTAAATATAGAACTACACTATGATTCAGCAATTCTATCTCTGGATTTATTCAAAAGATTACAAACCAGCATACAGTAAACTAGCACAACCATGTTTATTATGGCATTTTTCACTAGAACCCAGTTATAGACTCAGCTCAGATGATCCTCAGTGGATGAATGGATCCAGAAAATGTGTACACAATGGAATTTTACACATCCATTAGAAAGAATGACATTGTATCTTTTGTAAAGAATTGGAAAGACTTGGAAAAATTTGTTAAGTTTGGCTCAGAGAGACAAAGAATGCAGGTTTTCCCTTATGTATGTGAGCTAGATTTAACTTACAAACTCCTAAGTAAATACATTGGGTGATATGTAAGTGTATACAAATATATTAACTGAAATACAGTAGATTCAAGGCATATCTCAGATAGTGTAATTCCTTAGAATCAAAGTTCAGCAAAATAAAACACCAGGAAGCTGATACTCTAAAGTGGTGGGGTGGGCTCAATGGGAAAGGGTTAGAAGAAGAGGAGAGGAGGTGGAAACAGACAAAATACATTCTTGTCAGCAGTAGTTACTCTACGGTTAATATAACACCCAAACTTATTCTTTCCGTTTCTGTGCTGCTGTCCTTGTGGACCAACCTTTTTTCCATCTTTTACTTTCTGCTTTTCCTTTTACTCTCAAGTTCTGTGAGATCAACTTTTTTAGATTCTACACTTGAGTCAAATGGTACTTGTTTGTCTCTGCCTGGCTTATTTTACTTTAATTTGGTTTCTAGGCTCATCCATGTTGTCACAAATAACAGACTTTCATCTTTTTATATCTGAGTAATATTCCATTGAGTATATGTGGAACATTTTTAATTCATTTATCTATTGATAAACAAAGGTTGACTACACATCTCACTATTGTGGATAGTACCTCAATAAAAAATGGTGAGGTAGATGTCTCTACATACTAATTTCTGTTACTTTGAATACATATACCCAGTAGAGATTGTTGAATTGTACAGCCATTCTTTTTTAAATTTTTTGAAGGGTTTACATATTTTTTTCCATAATGGCTATAGTAATTTACATTCCCATCTGGTCCCTTCTGGACTGTTTTTTTTTGTATTTGTAATATGTGCAACCAGGCTGAGAGAAGAAATCTTACCTTGTAGAACAATTGTATATATAAGTGTTGTGTGTTAGAATTAAATTAATAATTACAAAAAGGCTACTCCACAGTTTTTCATATCCATATTTCATGAAATAACAAGATTTCATGAAACAGTTTGTAAGTTATGTGGACTTTGAATTTTTTAATCTGATTTTATGAGACAAATCGTTCCACATTTAATTTCTTTCTTCAGTGTCCTATTTAAATTTTCATCCTTACCCCCATACAGTTTTATTTGGACTACTAGTTATGGCAAAGTTTCTTGCCATTTATACTCAGAAATTACTGTACTTGTTTATGACATTAAAAAATGTAACCTAAAAAATAAATGAGTTTTTTTTCTACGACCACCATCTTTAAACTTTTTACCTACATATTCACCTATTTGTTAATGAGGTTACCATTTCAGATACCTATGCCTTAAAATAATTCACTTTTTTGGGGGGGGTGGGGGGTCCGGTCGTGGGCTTGAACTCTGGGCCTGGGCGCTGTCCCTCAGCTCTTCAGCTCAAGGCTAGCACTCTACCACTTGAGCCACAGCGCCACTTTCGGCTTTTTTTTTCTTGCTTATGTGGTGCTGAGGAATTGAACCCAGGGCCTCATGCATGCAAGGCAAGCGCTCTATACCACGGAACCACCTTCCCAGCCCTAAAATAAGTCACGTACTTAAACTTTTGTCCTATTACTAATGGCATTTAATGTATTATTTAAATATCTTTAAAAGTTCCTTGACTTCACTAAATTTAAAGAAGCCTGTTATAACCAACTAAACTTAGTCATTCACCACCCAACTGTTATACCTTACTTTACTTCTAGACTGGAAAAAAGTGTTGGCATTTGTTCCCAAGAATGAAAAAAACAGCCCTTCTTACACTCTATTATCATTAGTTTTTGGTTTTGTGCCTTCTCTGTAATGATCTAGGTTTGTTTCTCCTTTATTCTTTGCAGAGTGCTGCAGCAGCTCCCAGTCCAGTGCTAGGAAACATTCCCCCAGGAGATGGCATGCCAGTAGGTCCTGTACCACCAGGGTTCTTTCAGGTACTCAGAGACTTGACTAGGAATGTTAAGGCATAGGAACTCCTGTTTGATTTTATTTAAAGATAATGAAAGAGGATGAGGCTGTTTTAATTTTCAATATAGATATAATACCATACAGCCAACTCTTGATTGTTCAGACTGTTATCTACTTTACTGCCCTTCCTTTCTGTTTTATTTGTTGTTGATTAATTAAGCCATCTCATTGTTCAATTAAGAAAGTGAAGAAGTTGAATGCAAATTAGTCCACTAAGTTAACTGTGGTAAATACTTTGTGGGAGAAGCTAAAAATAACATTCTGGGAAGAGATGTAGATTTTTAATTTTTTTGTTGATGTTTTTATTGTTGTTGTTTTTTTAACTCTCCAAGCTATCCATATCTCTACAGACCAAAAGTAACCAAGAATTGGCTGTACTTTCAATAAACAGCTAAGTCATTATAGGCTATCTCAAAGTACTTTTGAGAATTATCCCTATGGCTTTTAAGCTGAATTTTTATTCATACCATTACATAACATTTAAAGATCTGATTTTCAAATATATTTTTAGTTTCTTAGGATCTTAATAATGTTTTAGCAATGCTAATTTAGAATTGTAATTTAAATTACAATAATTTTTAATTTGTCAGAATCCACATATTAAATCTGATAGTATTCTAACTCAAACCAACAGATTCTGAAATTTATTTTTATACTTAATAAGAAATGTATTTATTTATTTTATTTTATTTTTTGCTGGTGCTGGTACTTGAACTTAGAGCCTTGGTGTTGTCCCTTAGCTTTTTTTGCTCAAGGCTAGTATTCTATCACTTGATCCACAGTGCCACTTCCAGCTTTTTTGGAGTAGTTTTATTGGAAATAAGAGTCTCACTGACTTTACTGCCCAGGCTGATCTCAAACCACAGTCAGCAGAACTCAGTCCTCTGAGTAGCTAGGATTACAGATGTGAGCCACCAGTCCCAGGCTAAAGAAAATGTATTTTTACACAGAGAAATTAAGAATTTTATGAAAATTAAGAATTTAGGAATTAAGAATAGAGTTGGGAGGCATTTTATAGGAATTAATATAATATGCTATATTATTAATAAGTTAGGTACTTATAAGCTAATTTTTCCCTTCAGCTTTTATATTTCAAAGTTGTGATAATTTGTTAGTCCACCCATACCATCATTATATTGTACTTAAAATGTGAAAATGGAGAAATAAAATTGTAACTAATCTTACAAAGTTGAATTCAGTTAAAAGGCTTTAATTAGACCTGGTACCAACTTTGGTCTTTTAAAACATTCTTATTTACTTAGCTGCTCTATGTTATTACCCAGGTAGTCTAGAATATTTCAGAGTATTCATCAAGGCATACATTCTGCCTAGGAGGCCCTTCCTGAAAATCTAAGAACAGATTATAACTTAGTAATTAAACAACCACCAATTAACGTAACAATATTAGCTAACCCTTACTTGTTATGTTCTGTGTGCTATGTTTTGTTCTCAATGTTTTACATAAACTTTTAATCTCCACAGTAACCCTAAGTGTAAAGTATTACATATTATAATATTTCCCTCTGTGTGGATAGAGTAACCAAAGCATTGATAGATAAACGATTTGCACAAAATCAGAAAGTGACAGGATTGGGAATTGAATCAAAGCAGTCTGGATTTATGCCATTGAATTTACCTTTTCAACTTGATTGTTATTCATGAAATATTTCCAGCTCATTTTATTTCATTTTTTTCTTTATGCTCTTCTCTTGCCAAAGATGGCTTGGATTGGGAATAAATCAGAAGTTTTATCTATTTGAGTGCTACTAGAATATCTTTAAGTGATACTGTTATAAAAGAACGTTGATTAAAGAGGATGGCAAATTCTTTCATGCTAGGGCTATGCCAAGATATATGAATCCATGCATTTTCACTTGATAGAAAGAACCATTCTCTGTTTACCTACATTCTTTATCCAAGACTTGTTAAGTGTAGTTGAAACAGAGTTAACTTGAATTATTCCAATGTAATACATATTTGAGTACCACTAGATATCAGATACTGTAGTGTCTGTAATTTGTCTCTTTATGAAGCTCAGTGTCTTTGCTAAAAAGCTAACAATAAAAAGCTATGTGATGATCAAGAAGAAAGAATCATTAAGTCTACATGAGTTGGAGGTAAGAGAGTTTGCATATTAGAAAAACGTGTAGGGGTTCGGGGGTAGGGTGCGGGGGATACAATCGAAGCAAAGCAATGTCATTCCAGACTGTGGGAGCACTTTAAGTGAAAATGTGGCCACATCAAAACAACTTATGCTGAGATATTCAGAGTAACACAGAGAAAGCAAGGGTAGGAAAAATAGACAAGAGTTCCTGGACATAAAATGGGAAAGATATACTTGAGTTTGTTTAGAAGGGTCTTAAAATGCCTTTATTCGGGAAACATGGAGGATCAATAGACAAATGAAGTAATGCTCAAGATCTCTGGCCATAAAAAAAATACAAATCAAAGCAACATTGAGATTCCACCTCATCCTAGTTAGAATGGCTATAATCAAGAAAGCTAATAACAACAGATGCTGGAGAGGATGTGGCCAAAAGAGAACACTGCTGTTCAGAGTGTAAGCTTGTTCAACCACTCTGAAAAGCAGTATCGAGGTTCCTCAAAGGACTACACATAAGAGCTTCCCTATGACGTAGCAATTCCACTTCTGGGCATCTACCCAAATGACCACAAACAAGGCCACACCAAAGCTACCAGTACAACTATGTTTATCGCAACATTATTCACCATAATTAAGATGGAGTCAACTTAGATGTCCCTCAGTAGATGAATGGATCAAGAAAATGTGATATATATAATGGAATTCTGTGTTTCTGTCAGAAATAATGACAGTTCCCCACTTGTAAAGAAATGGCAGGACTTGGAAAAAATCATATTAAGTGAAGTAAGCCAGACCCAAATAAAAATAGGTACCATGGTCTCCCTTATTTGTAATAATTAGTGTATATCTAGGATAATCTTCTCCCTTTATTATTTTTTTTTTTGGGTCCGATCGTGGGGCCTGAACTCTGGGCCTGGGTGCTGTCCCTCAGCTCTTCAGCTCAAGGCTAGCACTCTACCACTTGAGCCACAGTGCCACTTCTGGCTTTTTTCTTATGTGGTGCTGAGGAATTGAACCCAGGGCCTCGAGCATGCAAGGCAAGTGCTCTACCACTGAGCCACCTTCCCAGCCCTCAGCTCTTCAGCTTAAGGCTAACGCTCTACCACTTGAGCCACAGCACCACTTCCAGCTTTTTTCTTCTTGCTTATGTGATGCTGTGGAATCGAACCCAGGGCCTCATGCATGCAAGGCAAGCGCTCTACCACTAAGTCACCTTCCTAGCCCCATATATCTAGGATAATCTTGATAGATAAGTAGAATAGTTCAAAAGTTATGTACATATAGCTAAGATGATGCTAAGTGAAATGAACTCCAAGTCATGGACACAAGAGTTTTTTCATTGTTGCTGCTCTCAATGTACTGTGTGATTTCTTTCTTCTTTTGTGTTTTTCCCCCTATGAATTTTCACCTGTTCTCACTGCATTTGATTTTGGTACTCTGGGTATTATATATATATATATATATATATATATATATATAATATATATGTATATATACATTTATCTGAACTAGGGAAGGGAAGAGAAACAACAAAATGGTGAGACAAAGGACAAAGGGGGAATCTGTGCAACAGGCAACAAGACAATATGTTGAAAAATGATCTGTACAACTTGAGAGGGGGTGGGGGAGAGGGAAAGAGGGAGAAAAATAAGGGAGAGGGTAACAAGTTAGACAAGAAATTTAATAGCCCAATGACTATGTAAAATGATGTACATCTGACTATATGTACATGATGATGCTAAGTAAAATGAACTCCAAGACATGGACACAAGAAGGTATTTTTTTGTTATTGTTGTTTTTAATGTACTATGTGATTTCTTTTTTCTTTTGTGTTCCCCCCCTCCCATGGTTTATCCTGTTGTCACTGCAATTGATTTTGGTACCCTGAGTATTGTATATATCTAATTCAGAGAAGGGAAGGAGAACAAAATGGTGGGACAAAAGGACAAACAAAGACCCAATGCAACAGCGATACTCACAAGACAATGTGTTGGAAATGATCTATACCACTTGGGGGAGAGTATAAGGAGGATGGCATAACACAAGTTCTACAAGAAATGCACTGTCTATCTTACTTATGTAACTGTAACCCCTCTGTACATTACCTTGACAATAAAAAATTTTTCAAGCCTATAATATGGCAAATGAGAAAAATAAGTTGCTAGAGTATAGAAAATGTGGTAATGGCTGAATTAAATAGGGAGATTTTGTTCTTAGAAAATCAGACCACCAAACCCAATTTGAGAGAAGCATAGGCAGGAATGTATTGTGGAAATACTACGTGAACTAAAATTACTATCTAAAGATGAGATAAGAGTTAGGCAAATTGGAAAAAGGGAGAATATTCTGGGAAGAGAGAAAAAAGATTCCAAAATCTAGAGGGGAAAGGAGAAAGAAACCCAGTTATATCAGGAAAAAGTGAAGTATAATTAGCTAAAGAGAGAATAACTGGTAATGACTTGAAAGGGACTATAAGGGACCCTGTAGGTTAGTAAAGAGCTTGAAATTGGTCCTCCAAGCAGGAAAAGACTGTTGAAGGATTTCAAACAGGAGAGGGACATGTTCATATTTGCATTATTAGAAAAGAAATTAACTCCAGCTAGTCTTAGAATCTCAGAAGAACAAGTCTGAACATAGGGATACTATTTAGCAGGCTAGTACATTAATAACAGGTGCAACTTCATGATGATTCTTACTAAAATGGTGATAGTGGATATGGAAAGGTATCAGTAGATTTTAGACACAAAAATAAAGTTCAAAGGTGTGAATGAAAGAATTAAAAGTCATATCCTGGCTTCTTGTCCTAATCAAACCAAATAGAGATATTCTTTTCTGAGGAAATAACTGCAGCATGGGAAATAG